AAAGTAGGGTTTTGAAATTAAGCCCTCAAAATGATTTGGCATTTAAGTTCAAACAAATCTTTACAATTCTGAGCTTGACAGAGAACCAGGGCTGGACTGGGAATTAAAAGCAGCCCTGGAAAAAAAATATTTACCAGCCCCATAATGCGTCACGCCAGCATAGTGTGCAGATACAGAGTTAGAACAGATAACTTAAAATTAAAAAGTACTTCAACGTAAAAAGCGCACTCATAGGCTTCAAAATAAACAAAAGTGCAGATTTATTTTAAGCAGACGTGCCTTTGCATGTAATCAATGTTTCAGTCCAACTACCTTGACATATTAAGGAAAGCTTGTTAATGGGACTGAAATGGTGAATGTATGTAGGGCACAACTGTAAAAATGTTTATTTTGAAGTCCTGTGGGTGTGCTCTTCACTTTAAATATGTTATTGTGCTGGAGTATGCACCTAGCAACAAGACCGGGCCAATATCTGCTCATTACATATGGTACATATTAATGAAATTTCTCTGTGTATTATGCATTTATAAATGTACATTAAAATGTGTAAATATAATATATATATATATATATATATATATATATATAAAACTAATATACACATTAATATACATGTCATATACCAATGACGGATCCAGAGCCTGAGCCCGGGAGGGGCACTTGTAGATTATTTAAAGACATATTCCATGCACAATAACCACTACTCCTCTGTGTAGTGGTTATGGTGCCAGGAGTGTCGGCACCCCCTCCCAGAGTAAGTAGTCAAACCGTTTAAGAACAGTTTGACAACTTACCTGGAGTCTGCTGGGATATGGGGCTGTAGTAGGGTATAGGAGCAGTGGTGCAATGTGTGAGGGGTGCAATGTGTGTGAAAGGTTCAGTGTGTGGGTGTGGGGGGCAGTGTGTGAATGTGTATGGTGTGTGTGTGTGGGGGCAGTGTGTGAATGTGTATGGTGTGTGTGTGTGGGGGCAGTGTGTGAATGTGTATGGTGTGTGTGTGTGTGGGCAGTGTGTGTATGGGGCTAGAGTTCATTCCTACTACTGCAACCACCAGGAAGTGGTGAGTGTGAACTCTAGCCCGTAGCTCCAGGGCTAGAGTTCACCCTCGTGAGAGCCGGAGCGTTGCCCCGGGTCCTCTCTTTCTCCCCCTCACTGCTCCTCTGTGTCAATGTCTCCCCTCTCCTTCCTAGTCTCTCTCTTCCCCCTCTGCCTCTTTCTTCCCCTCCCCTTGTGTGTCTCTCTCATTTCTCCCTCTTTGTCTCTCTCTTCCCCCTCTGCCTCTTTCACCCCCTTTCCCTGTGTCTCTCCCTCCTCCCCTCTCTCTCCCTCCCCCCTTTCCCTGTGTCTCTCCCATCTCCCTCCCTACCCTCTTTCCCTGTGTCTCTCCCCTATCCACCCCCACTTTCCTGTGTCTCTCCCATCTCCTATCCTTTCCCTGTGTCTCTCCCTTTCCCTCCTCCCCTTTCCTATTCTCTCCTCTCCCTACCCCCTGTGTCTCCTCCCATCTCCTCCTACCCCCTTTCCTGTGTCTCTCCCCTCTCCTCCTACCCCAGCATGTCTCTCCATCTCCTCCCTACCCCTTTCCCTGTGTCTCTCCCCTCTCCCTCCCTCCCCCCTTTCCCTGTGTCTCTCCCCTCTCTCTCCCTCCCCCCTCTCTCTATTCCCCTCACCATCTCCCCCCCCCAATTTACCTTAGAGAAGGCAGGGGGGCGGCCGCGTTCCAGACTGGAGCCGCCGGGCCGGGTGGCAGCTTCGCCGGTCCAGCGGCACTGGTCTCACTGATGGCTGAAGGAGGAGGAGCCTGTCTACCATGCTCCCTCGTGGTTCCCACAATTCCCAGCACAGGAACCGCGAGGGAGCATGGTAGACATAGAAACATAGAGTTCATCATCATCTTGTCCTCATCTGGTGGTAAGTAGAAACATAGAAACAGGCTCCTCCTCCTTCAGCCATCAGTGACACCAGTGACTGGAGTGCCGCCGGACCGGCGAAGCTGCCACCCGGCCCGGCGGCTCCAGTCTGGAATGCGGCCGGCGCCCTCTCAGTGTGCCACCGGACTGGCCACCCGGTGGCACCTATGTGGCAGTGCAGCCCCCAGGTGCCGCGGCCCACCGGGAAATTTCCCGGTATCCCGGTGGGCCAGTCCGGCCCTGCAGAGAACTATAGGATTTGTATTTTGATAAATCTACAATACTTCTGATTAACACCCTTGATTTAAAACTGGTGTTTACTATGTCTATCAATTGAAACAACATGGTTATTATATTATTACAGTGTTAATAGAAATATGACCACTCACTTGAGTGCCAGAACTGAGAATAAACTAGTTAATAATATTAATACTAATAATTTTATAAATAGATAGAGAGCTCAATAGACTGTGATTGTGTGTGTCATGTCATTGTAATAGTCTGGAAGGGTAAACCTTTGTTTGTGCTAATAAAGCAGTTT